GTAAAAGCGGAAGGTTGGGCGAAATGGGTACTGTATGACCATGTTTCTCCGACGAAGTCTCGACTGACACTAATGCTGACAATGGACGTTAGATAAACACGCATTGTTTGCGACGGGAAGCTTATCATCCGTTATATCAGAATCGTCAACAACAGAGTATACAGATAAGATTTTATCATTTAATCCCTCCCAAAGATAAACATTATGCAAATATCCACGAAACGCCAGTTGCAGTCTTTTCTGCTAGTGTTTTAAAACACTAATTTGAGCGACGTTATTTCGCAATTTCGATCTTTTGTAAACCTGGGGTGATGTATCAAGGTCTAAAGTAACCGTTTTATCAATTTTTGAAAAATCAAGAAAAAAGTGAAAATTTCCCTTCTCGCTACCTTAAAAGACTGAACTTTATACGTTCTTTGAAACTGGTTAAAGGGTCAGGTGACGGTTATTGCATCTACGAGGAATTGTGCTTTTCAGCAGTGCTTGTAGTGTTCCCCTAATGGAACTAATCTAATAGAGGTCCATCCAATGTAAACTAATATTAATATCAAAGCAATTTTAATAAGAGGTCAACATTTTTGACAAAACATATTTTTTTTTCTCGAAAAATAGACAATTGAAGATATTGAAAAATCTGATAGAGATTCAGCCAAGGGACACACATACCGAGTATCAATGCAATTGAGTTGGTAGTTTTCAGGAAGAAGATGGAAAGGTAATTGCTGATAAACGGGTAACGACAGGCAACATTACCTATGTGACCAGTCGCAACTATATATGAACCACCATAGTTTGATATCTCAGCACGGATCAAACGAAAAGGCTTCGAGCGGGCAAAGAGGGCGTTGTTGGACGAGCATTAAAAACATGTAGGGTCTATATTATTGAATTAGGTCCAACAGTCCAAATTGGAGAGAAAGATGCCAACCTGGTAATAACATTTAGAAATTTACTTCCATTTTTTCTATTTTTTATTATCGACATATTTTTAATGACGTTCACAGTCCGATAGACTCAATGTAGCGCTTGGGAAATGAAAACTGCGGAGTTCATGTTAAATTTGTAAAAATATATGTTGCGTGTTTCCGCGGTTAACGAGTGACATGCATAGACATAGACATATTGACTTATTTGCATCGTATAAACACACAAGTATGATAATACGATAGCTTGCAGACTCGTCCACGCATGTCTCCAGCTTCCAGCTCTGTCCTTGTACGTCCGTCTTATTCTTAGTGGACTATGAGAAAAATGACGCAATGCGGCTTTCAAATCAAAACAACAACAAATATTAAAACTAGCATCTACACATTGTAGAAGATTCACAAGTCAATACAATAATAAAGTTGTTGTTGCACCCATATGTTAAGGCAACTCATAAGGCAGCGTGACAAGCAAACTCATACCTTGCACGAGTTGTCCCGTGTGTATGTTATAACCGCGTCGCCAAATTGGTTTAGGAAAAGCAGGAGTAAAAGTCTTTCTACAAAATGGTGTATTGAGTGTTGTTGACAAGAGAGTTGGATCATATTCCTGTCTTGCCAAGCGTTAGACAAGATCACTCTATAAATATGGAAAGAGTTGCATGCCAAGTTACCAGTAAAAGATAAAATTGGTATGCTTAGCATAGCAAAACATGACATTTTCTTGTTATTTATTTAGTATTTATTTATATTATTATTTGAACAAAGTCTATTCTAAAACGTTCATTTTAGATTAACGGTAGCACATTTAGCCATGTTACTCTTTCAGCATTATGATTATTTAGAACAACGCTGTTGTAAGATCTGCGCCTTTTAATATTTATTCTTGATCTTTTTCTACATCATAGGCAGTTTATTCAAACGCAATACACTTGAAAGATTCCTGACAGTAAATAACTAATACTTTGTCACAAAAAACTATGATCTAGAACGACACATAATTTTGAAAATTATTTGAAATGCGCAACTGGCTTCTATCGGACTTCTATCATTATATCAACACTCATTGTTGTCCGAGTTCTCCAAAGGTACATTCGCAGTTATGGTGACAGTTTGGCTTTCTCAGTCCAGTGCAAGGCGGAGAAGTAAAAAATAGTAAAAACCAGCGATAACCTCGCTCGCTATGGCAGTAATGCTAGTAAGATTGAACGCGAGAATAATTACGTTTAACTAATATTTGTCGTACGAGCTTAATCGGTATATTATAAAACATGCACTCTGTTGAAAATCAGCTTTCTTCAAAACACGTGGTCAACAAGACTTGGACAGA